GGAAGGGCAACCCCCGACACCATGGTCTTAAGTCTAGCTGCACTAACAACCCTGTTATATGACTATATGACTATATGACTACTCTTATGACTACTTGAATTAATATGCTCGACCCGACCAAGGAAATAGGAAAAGTAAGGAATAGTGGTATAAAAGTAGTGAAGAAGTAAGGAAAGTGATAAATAACAAAGTAAAGAATGAAAGATAATGAAATAAGGAAGTAAAGAAAAAATAAATGTAGAAAAAGAAGAATATTGGAAATGGATAAGAGAAATGATTCCAAGACACCAGTATAAGAGATCGGCTCGAGGAAGAATGAGCGGTCCGAGTCCGGGCACTGCCTCAAGCGCTTCCCCCACTCTGCGGCTCCACCCGCTCGACGAGTTCCTCGCGACGAATTTGCGCGCACACAATTTTGAAGAACTTCGAGTACTTATAAAGAAAAAGAAGAATATTGGAAATGGATAAGAGAAATGATTCCAAGACACCTGTATAAGAGATCGGCTCGAGGAAGAATGAGCGCTCCGAGTCCGGGCACTGCCTCAAGCGCTTCCCCCACTCTGCGGCTCCACCCGCTCGACGAGTCCCGCGCGACGAATTTGCGCGCACACAATTTTGAAGAACTTCCAGTACTTATAAATCCCCCAAAAAACACTTACGTGTAAAAAACTACGCCAAGTACAGGATTGCTGTGAATTCCTCTAACAAAAAGTATTGATATCATATTATTGAGGCCAAGTACATAAGTCACTACATGTTTTCCTATTATATGATCTAGCACTGGCCCATCATTTTAATTATATTTTCAATATTTCCTATAACGTTTATGACTACTTGAATTAATATGCTCGACCCGACCAAGGAAATAGGAAAAGTAAGGAATAGTGGTATAAAAGTAGTGAAGAAGTAAGGAAAGTGATAAATAACAAAGTAAAGAATGAAAGATAATGAAATAAGGAAGTAAAGAAAAAATAAATGTAGAAAAAGAAGAATATTGGAAATGGATAAGAGAAATGATTCCAAGACACCAGTATAAGAGATCGGCTCGAGGAAGAATGAGCGGTCCGAGTCCGGGCACTGCCTCAAGCGCTTCCCCCACTCTGCGGCTCCACCCGCTCGACGAGTTCCTCGCGACGAATTTGCGCGCACACAATTTTGAAGAACTTCGAGTACTTATAAATATTCTTCACCAGGATTTCTGATTTCCAAGTGTTAATATCTAACTTTATTGATTCAATTAATTATTTTAATATTCCAAACACTTAATTTATTAATATTTCAATCAGAGCATAATTTATTTTCGAGATTTTACAATTTCGATTCAGTTTTTATCTATTCTGTATATTTTGCGAGATTTCGATTTAGTCTCAATTTTAATTTTGAATAAATTTCGATTGTAAATCAACAACCAATAATATTTAGTAACATTTGGAAAGCTTTATCCAATGTTTCAAATTTTCATTATTTCTGTGTAACTGATTTTTTCCTTCTTCTCGCGGATTATCCAGTTTTCCTACTTATTACTTCTTGTTGCACTAATGTGAATTTGAGTTTGGTCGTTCTGGCAGATCTCATTCGAGAAGACAGCCAAAAATACAGGAAGGAAGGACTTTGGTACTTTCAGTAGCTTATGCCTCTGGTTCAAAATTAGCTAATTTTTGTTTATTTACTTTCATAGTGGTGATCTATCGGGTCGAAAGATGAATAAGGGATATACAAACGTTACTATAAAAAATATGGAGACGATGCTCAATGCTCAGTCCAAAAAGACAAACCAAGATCTGTATAAAGGATGTAGATCCCATAAAGCAATAGTTTGTTTTTTAACATATGTGTGTGAAATCAGAAGAGAAAATTTTTTTTAAAAAACATGAGCTCAATATGTACCAAAATCTGCTTCAAAAGTTAGGTGAGATTTTCATTTATCGGTAGAGCTGGAGTAGGGAGTTAGAGCTGGTTAGAGCTACTAACTTTAATCTGTTCCCCATGAAAGTATCCTTCAACAGTTAATAAAGTTTGATATTACTTTATCTTTCTTTAATGTAAGTTTCAGAGGTTTGCAAGTCCCCAGAAAGAAAAATGCAAGTCCGCTGCCCGGTGGATGCGCGGACTTTGATAACTCTGCGCTCTGTCGGCTCAATAGGACGTGGTTTCAATTCGATTCTGCACAGTTGAACATTATTTAATATTCATAATCTCTATTGGTTAAAATTTCGTTTAATAAAAGCATGGCATTCATATCAAGAGCTTGTTCTCTTCGAAAAGGATTAATATCTTTATTTGAATGGAAGGATCTAAACTGTAATATTTACAGTATTAGCAGGAAATCATATAATGTTGAGGTTAGATCTTATATTCTCATAAGATACATTGTCATTATTTTATTTGCTTGCATATAAATTTAGTGTATCTTGCTCCTTTGTGTAAAATTAAGTATTGAAATACATTCAATATCTTGTATTTTTCAGGTTTGTGGAGTTCTTAGACATAGAAAATACTTTTCTATACAAGCAGATACAAATCATAATACGCAAGGAAATGTCGAACAAATATATTACGGCACTTTGTCGACGCAAATTAGGAATATTAAATTATTCTCATTAGTTACCTCAATTAGTAGTATTTCTGTTCAGCCTTTACTTATTCAACGCGTTGCAGAATCTGATAGTATAGCTACAACTATTGGTGTATGTGCATTTGTTGGATTTTTTGCTTTTGTTACACCACTATTATTACATATTGTAACAAAAAGATACATAACTCATTTATATTATGATAATGATCGTAAAAAATATATTGCTATCACATACACATTATTTTTACAGAAAAAAAAGGTATGTAGATATTTTTTTACTGTATTCGTTATCTATGTACAAAAATCACAAAGCTATAAATTGTTACAGACTGAATTTACACCAGATGATGTGTACGTACCAGATATTACAGGAATGTTTACCACGTGCTTGATAAATAAAAAGCCATTCTTCTTCGATATGAGATTTTTCAGCGACATGGGACATTACAAAAAGATAATGGGGTACGATAAACCAATAGATTTTAAATTAGGTACCCTGGAGTCTGACAAATCACCAGAAAGTATTAAAAAATAAAGCATTACAAATACATTAAGTCCTTTAATGTGTTCTTTCTTGCCCTACTGATATTATATATTCGTAAAAAGTAAAATGTTACTAATTACAACTTATGTACATGTATATGCAGGTAAATTTTAAACCAGTTGGGTAAAAGAATTGTAGTTGTAATGTAGTTATGATAAAAATGTATATAAAAATTAAAATACTTCTACCAAAGGATAAACTTATAATTAAATGCATATTTTATTAAGTTATTTTCCTACAAAACTATTAACAGTGGTTTAATAAATGGATCTGAGAATCAGAGTTGGTTACATATTTGGTTTTCAAATATTTTAAATATTACGAGTTGGTTTGGAGCAATAAATTTGACAAGTTCTACATGTACTTTTAAAAAAAGCAGCCTAATATTACTATCGTTGGTATTATAATACAAAATCTACTTTTGTAGCAATTTATAGCAAACTTTTTCCTTCTTTCATTAACAAAGAAAGAGATTAACGTTTACAAACTCAACACATATAGGCAGTCAAAGTTCAAATGGAAATATGTAGTTTCAGATACTGCATATAAGCAGACTAAAATCATGTGACATATCATAAATGAACACCATTTATAGATGCAATGTATCAACTTTAGAATTTCGCTCAATTAGATAATCATTTGTATCATTTAATATTAAATTACATAGTATCCATTTTGCCAAATACACAGAATAAGATATTTGTAGTAATGAAAATTGTCAATAAATGATATATGAGAGCATATAATAATCTTCATACTAGTAATTTATTTCAATTGAAATAATATTATCAATCTTATGTAACAGTGAATAAAAATAATTTGCATCCTCATTTCACAGCCAAAAGCAAATGAAATAGTTCCACAAAACTGAACTGTTAGCACATGATCAGATAAGTATATAAAAAAAATGTTGAGTAAATGTGCAATTTGCATTACCCCAAATAATAACATGGCAAAATTCTATTGTGATTGTGGAAAGAAATAAGAAAAAAAAAAACATTTTTTAACCATCATATTTCTTACTTATATCAATTCATAATTTTCACAATAATTCTTAACATTTATTTTCTGCATATTTCAAACAAGGGAAAATCTCTGTTCTCCCATATATCGTACTTGGCGCGGGACTGCAGTCTATTGATTCGATGAAGAAACAGTTTCAATAGTAACTGCACTATTCGAAAAATGTAAAGTTTTTCGTTACATTACGTTAATATAAAAAACCCCGTATTTCCTTAAATATTACATATATATATATACAGAAAGATCACAGTTTTTATGTTTTATCTCTGAACGGGATTCAGAGATTCTGAAATAGTAATTCAAGTATGAACAGATCTAAAATAACAATTAAGCCGGCAGAAGGTCAAAATCGTCTGAAACGTGTACCATAGGTACATGAAGATCATCTATTTGAGGCCTGGCCTTAAATTCGCAAAGGCCAACCTCCTTCAACTTCCATTCCCAATCCATACGTTGAACAGCATGCAAAGATTCTGCTTCGTTGTGATGTCTCAATAGCATAGCTTCCTGTGGACACAATAAAAAAAACATGATATAGAGAAAAATTAAATAATTATATCAATAAAAGCATGTAAATCTAAATAAAATAAAAATAAGAGCAGTGTACTACGATTTTTTAAACCAATATATATTTATTGTATATCGGTCGGTTTTCACGCAGCATAGTCATATTTTATTTAACCCGATCATCAAAGGCACGATTGGTGCATAAAAAATCGGCCAACGCGATGATCCAGGTTATTTTATTCACCATATTCTCTAGTATTATTTATATTGAATACCGCATTATCGAATTGTAATGCTGAATAGTTGAAGATATTCACCTTAATCTTTTCCCATTTGTCATCCACATCTTGTAACCAGCTCAAGAACAGTCTGCCATTATATCTGCTTCTTGCATTTCTGTCCTTCTCTTCCTGTTCCGGCGTTATAACGTTATAAACTTCTTCATCTTTTAAAATCGTACACACAGAAAATGGAAGAGACTGATTGGCCAACGCTCTGGCTGCTCTTCCGTGCACCCTCAAAATTTCCTGTTCAACCGACAGGACGAGCTTCTCCTTTTCAACTACATGTTGCATTCTGAGTCGATACCTTTCTTTTTCTTGATCAATGTACAGATCTTTCATCGGCACGGCTAAATTAACAGGAGGATTTACATTTGGTTCCTTGTTCGCGTTTCCAGCCAACACATAAGTGCAGCGATTCATCAAATAATCTTTGAATCCTTGTGGAGGTTTTGGTTGAACAGGGAAAAGTCCCTTACGCCTACGTTCGATCTGGATTACAAAAACAAAGTATTCATAAGTATATTCTAGCATTGTATCCAAAATGACTGCATTGTAGTAATACATACTACCATTGTAACCATTCTTGAGTTGACATACCTGCTTTCGAATATTGAGAAACAATTGATAGCAATTTGTGATAGGCTGATCATGTGGATGAACTTCCGGACCCGTATTAACAGCTTCCGCTGCTTCGTTGGCAGCAGCTGTCGCTGCAGCTTGTTGCGCCTCTTTATTGGTCTTCATCTTTCTCTTCCTCGGATGAAGTTCCACTGTAGGAGCTGATGTCGACACGTTACTTGCTGCTGTGGATGCGGATGAGGATGTACTCTCCGAATTCTCTCCACCGTCTTTTGGATTCTTTCCATTTCCTTCAGCATTTTTCTCGAGCTTCTCGGTCGACGAGGTAGTTGATTTTGTAGAACTAGTCGTAGATTCTGTAGACACAGTTTTGTTCGGTTCAGACGCCGTAGTTTCGGGCGTTGGAGAGTGATGTCTCTGCTGTGGCGACGAGTTATTCGATCGATCATTAGATGATGTTGCAGGTAAAGGTGATGAATTTGAATAATTCCCATTTCCCGTGGAACCACCTACAGTTTCTTTTGAACTTACTGGACCATTACCACCACTGCCCGTTCTAAATTAAATAACATAGGTACACGTTGATAAAACACCTTCTCAAATTAATATTAATTTTGTTTTTAAGGCTGACCAACCTGTGTGAACTTCTTAAGACTCTTTGATGATGCGTAGACCTCTCTTCGCTGTGAAGAGCACCAGTGAAATCCTTCTTTTCCTCGGTCTTCGTAGTAGTGTTACTGCCTTCCATGGGACTCGTCGTTCCACTGGCTGATTGGCTCTGATCTTTATCCGTAGAATCGTTACTATTTGAACTTGCTACTACATAAGGCAACTGATGACTCCTATTCGATGTGTTTTTACCGTTCCTACTGCCTTGTTCTTGTTCGGACGTCGTGCTTTGGGGAATGACAATCTTCAACGGCGGGACCTTCGGAGCGGAACTGGAATCGGAACTCTTGGAGCGATCGTCTTCTCCATCAGATTCCGGCGGTGCAGGAGTACTTGTATTCGTTATAGTAGTCGTCGTAGTTGTAGTTACAGTTGTAGTCGTGGAAGGAGTAGTAGTGGTATTGGTAGTAATGGTGGCAGCAGTGGAGGCAGTTTTTGAGTTCGATTGAGTATTGCCAACATTTGATGAAGGTTTTGGGCTGCTTCCACTTGTTGCCGATGAACTCGGACTCTTTCTGTCTGCATTCGTGGTTGTTGAATTTTGATTGTTCTTGCCCAATGTGGCGTTCGACCCTTGCTTGCCAGACTTTGCACACTGTTCAACAAACGACGACGTTACGGGTGAGGAGACCTTTTCTAACTAAAAAAAACAAGTGAAAACAATAGATGCAAAACTGATGAACGATAAGCATGGGATGGCGTAAGAATCAGGTCAGATTCAGACATCAACATATGTTGATCAACGACCCAGATAATTTTAAAGAAGGGTAAGGTCAAAGAAAGAAAGAACAAACGTTCCATTTTAGTACTACTTGTCTGAATTGGACCGATCACGGTGACAGAATTCTCTGGGCATGTATACAATGTTTTACATACCTTTTCCTGGGCAACATTGTTCCTTCCAGTAGTTTGACGTCCAGAAGATGCACTTTTAGCATTATCTTTTGGAGCCTCAGAGTCTTTTCGCTTTTTCCTACGATTCTCATCATCTTGATCTTCAATGACATCTCCATCAAATGATCTTTTTGAAGAGGAAGAAGGTGATGTAGAAACCGTCCCTTCTTCAGAATTTTGGACTGTTGTTTCCGTTGAATTTGCTGAGATATTTCCTGTAGCTGTACTTATATTTCCAGTACCAACAAGAGGTTTGCTATCCTTTTCTTTATCAGAATTTATATTTGGTGGAGAATTTGCACCTCGTACAGGAGTTGCTTCTTTGGAACTTTTAAATTCATAAACATCACCATTGTCGGTTGATTGGTTTCCACTGTTACTCTGACCCGTGCTTGAAGAGTTAGAGCCCGAAGAGGCAGTAGATGTTTTTGAGGAAGCATCCATTTGGCTTTGATTTTGCACACTTATGCCCTGACGGGAGTTTCCACTGCCTCTCTTTTCATCTCTTGCACTTCGCACCTGGTTAAGTCGAAGCGTCACCCGTGGCGAGCTTCCAGACTGCTTAGTTCCTGATCTATCAACTGCAAACAGTAAAAAAGACAAATTATATAACCAAACATTTTTTTATGTAAGACAGCAGTTAAATCTAAGAAACTCTATGTATAAACTCTATGAATCTTTGTACTGGATATTATGAAAATTACTTTAGAATAAGTTGTATAAGTTGTATAGCAATACCTAATTTACTACATTCAAAATTAAAATAAGGTCTAATATTTTCCCTTTATACTTAGTTATGGGCTATTATTTAAATGAGCAATTTAATTACAAATAATAAATATTATGCCAATTACAATCAATAACTAGATTGTACCAGTACTTATACAAGATGAAACAATTAGAATAATAAAATAATTAAGCAATAATTAATAACTAAGAAATAATGTCATATAATGCTCTAAAACAATATTACTAATATTTCAAATAAGTAATACTGGATATCAGTATGCTACAATCGTTAGAGACATATGTATTTCTTATAAACGTTTATCAGAGGCCTATTTTTAGAACCATGAATTACATGATAAATTGTATACCTATGTGCCACGCGTAAAAGAAAAAGCTTTGCGCCTGATTATCACGTTAATATAAAAAGCAATTATGTCGATATCACTCGCTCACAACACTGATTAAAAAAAATACTACATATTTTTCCCATTATACTATGGATTTGCATACACTAAATTCTGCGTTTATTATTCCGATATGGATCAATAAATACATATTAATTGCTTGTTGATTAAAAACACTTGCAGTAAAAACATTACGAAATCACTTACAAAACTGAAAAATTTACCCCACTTCACTGTACTCTTTTAAAGAAATAAAACAAAACAAAAAATTTCGATGAGTTTGACTAAAAAGTATCGACATATTTTCCTTCACACTTGTAATGAAAAAAAACTCCCAAACTAATCGTAATCCAAAAACAAAATCCTACAACATACGTACATTGCGTATAATTTAATGTTAACAGCAATTTGTACCACGCACGTGATTAAACTTTACATGAAACACGTGATTTCCACACTGCTGAAACATTTGCTCGACCGTACAAAAAGAGCAGGTGAAACCATCGACTTGCATAAAAACACAGAAAAATAACGAGTAACATATCATACACGACATATAACTACGACACGTCACATTTACGAAATGTCATCACCAATTAAACAAATCAAGAGCTATTATTACCGTTTAATGATATTATGTATGGACGCGTCACCAGGATTAGCGTTATCGCGCGACACCATTCACGATAGAACACGTTCAAGTCCTATACTCTTACAATTCAGTAACTTGGAGGAGAGTCAACGAAGGCCACGAAAAAAACAAGGCAGTCAAAGGCTTTCTTGTCCAAATGAAAAAAAAATTGGTAAGAAAATTTAGAAAATTCGTAGCGCAACGTCAACTAGTTAATATAAGAACAATAAGTAACACCAGGTTCTATAGAATTTGATTCTTGACTCGTGCCGACTAAGCTTCGAGTGAAGTTGCGTTGCCAGCACAGTCACGTCTCGTTTGTAAGGCTGTCTCTGTTTCACTGTACTCTTCTAGTGTTCCTCTTACGACTCCACTGAAACTCACGCGACCTCACACAGCCACACTCGTCATTCTTCGTCCCTTTAGCAGCCTACAGTACCGAATGGCCGTCGCCATCAACGCCACCGCCACTGCCACTGCCACCAACTCCTTCTTACAGAGTGTCGACCCTAGCGCGCGGCCTTTCTCGATCCTGCTGTTTCTCATGCGGCCAGGGCCGTATGAACAATAACTTTACAAGAATGTCTATCGACGGTGCACACGAGCCTCTATTCTTTCTTCGACTAGCAAAGTGAATACAACGGATGACAGGCGATTGACGTGAGAAACTGAATGGACAGCATCGAAAGAGATCAGAAGTAGGATCACTCAGCATCAATTGTATAACAAATAGTAATTATATTTCACGCGTTTCTATTTACTGTGGGCGCTGATGATTCTTTATTCATTTCTCTTTAACATTAACAGTTATGCGTTCATTCAAAGTATTTCAGGACATACTACGGGGAAATGTTTTCTCGTGGGTGATTAATGAATATTGAAATAAATTAATAACAGGGTCGAATTCGAAATGTAAATTATAAATTATGAATCCTCATGGATGTTTAATGGTTTACGTTGGACTGCATTATGAATAAATCAAGTTAAATAATATCAGACATAACTTCTGTATGTCTCATGTGTCTGTCTATGTTTCCGTGTAACGTCAGATAAGCTGATAAAAACTGAACTTACAGATGATATGTATAACATTTTTTTTTATTCCTCTTTAATGAATCTATATATAGAGTATGAAATACGTAACGTAGCTTGTACTAAGCCTCTTTATCTGAATTATTAATTTCTAAACTGAATTGTAAATACGTCGCAATAAAAATGATAATACGCTACAATGATAAAAGTAGATGATTGTACATTTTTTATGAAAACATGAAAATATTATGTATTTCTTACACTTCAACAATCAGTTACGACCATATGTCATTTCTTAATCAAAATACGCTGATGACGCTATGAAATAAATCTCTTATATGGCACATTTGAAGTATTAATAAAATGTTAATTTCGAATATATATGCGCATATAATGAATGTAAAAAGAAATTGAAATAGGAAATATTCTTTCAACGTTCGAGCAGAAATTTTCAATGTTTTTAATTCCCCAAAAAATGTTAAGATTCAAAGATGAATCATAGTAATAAATATATAGTGATTCGATATTTCAGTGCAACGTTTTCAACCCTTAACGTTTACCTGGGGTGTCACAGTGACTCCAACGTCACATATGATTCTTATTGTAAACTCTATCGAAGTGTGACCTTTAAGGGTTGACGAATAAAATTGTATAATCTCAAATGGTGAAAGACAGTAAGAGAAGATGCCTAAATACATCAAAAATCATTGAACAACCCAAGATACGCTCCTGAGAGACGTTGGCATCTCCCTTCATGGGAGCATTCGGAAGGAGAAGGTATCCTCTTGTTCGGAAGTCTGGCAAGCAAGCGCACATAGCCATGTGTGTGTTTGTATACATAGTGCGCGTGCGTGAAATCGTGAGACAAGTATGCGCTTGAGTCTACATTCTGTATCACAAATGCCAGAAACATAATATCGAAGCGCAGCGTCATTAAGTCTAGACGACGACAGAATGAAGTATAAGTATATCTTAATTGAATTAAAGAAAGAAGGAAAAAAAAACCTTAAACAATATGCAGAACTAAAAACCGTTATACAATAAACTGATAACATTAGAATATATTGCCGTCACTAGTACGTCATAACACAGCAATGGCGTGCAGTTGTTAGACACTGCAAGGCGTTAAGAAACTGCTTCACAAAACAATAAGACAAAGAAAAATACTGAGCAAGCATTTCCTAAGTTTGACATTGACAAATGATGTGTGTCAGAATTCAGTCATGTAATGTCCACTAGTGAAAATAGTAACATTAATTTATGTTTTTACTGTTTGTCAAGTAGCAGTAATTTTTGTGCAGTTTTCTTAAGGTATAACGATACAAAATTTTAGTCATAAATATTTTCCTTCATGTATTATGTAGCCAACATTCCTGAAGCACTGACCTTTGCTTTGCGGTGGTGTTCTCCGCATCTCACAGGGGGCTCCACTGTCTTCAGCAATGGACGGTGTGGTGCTTGGTCTACTTTCGCTCGGACGATCTTGTTGCTGGCGATTGTCGTGCTGCTCAATGAACGGCGCTGTGGTCGCAGTATCAGACAAGGAGCTTGGAGTATTAGGATCGCTGCTTGATTCGTCGGTAGAAGTTGTTCCGATTATTTCTGCTGTTGACAAACCAAGAACATGCATAAGGACGAACGATTAATATATTTTATAACTAGGATAGAAATTATTTGCAATAATTATAAATTTGCTTTTTTGCTTAACAAGTTGATCTGAGTATACATTTATCGTTGCTTGAAAGTTTCGTGAATTCATAAATATTCAAAAGTGCATTATTGTATTTTCACGTGAAATGAATACGATGGAAAAACCTACGTAATGCGAAATCAAAGTTTGGTAGGTAACAGTAAAGCAAACAAGCAGTCACGAGTAATATAAAATCTGGCAACTTAATCTTAATAGTAAATGTTAATATATATCTCATTATTGCTATAAAAAATTACTACACTGCTAAGTACAAAATATAAATCATCACGAAAAAAAATCATCACCGAAACATTGTAACATAATTACAACTGCGATATAACAAACTGCTACAAAAACGTGATATATTCCAAAAAGATAATATTAAACATAAAAACGACTACTACACGCATATCTTATCCAGGGGATAGTCATTTATCAATATTGTACTATGACAGGATCAAGAAATATTTCTTGTTATTTCAAGGGCTATATAAATCTCAAAAAATAAATACCGTATGTCCCATTGCAAGGGAAAAATCCTGACGAGAATTGGCCAAAAAATGTTGTATTTGGAATAAAAACTTTTCGGTATGATTATGTTCACTTTAATTTTAGTGTATCACCTTCGCGCCAATTGTTTGACAATTTAAAATGCAAGCAGCGACATCTAGCGAGGCGCCGGAGAAACACTGGATACGAACGCACTCGACGTGCAAGCGAACACGGCCCCTTGCGAACTGGAGGCCATGTTGCGTCGCGACGCTTGCCGTCGCGGGCTCCGCCCCTGAAACTTCCCGGCAGAGCGGATCGGCGCGACCAACGCGATTTTGCCCCTCTGCGCTCATCCTGTGGCCACGTTCGGCCATTCGGTCTATAACGCGACGCTAGAGCACGAGTATAGCATTTCTTCATGGGACATGTCTGCGCAATGCGCGAACTTATCCGTACCGCAGCATTTCTTGAAATCCGAACCTTCAAATATGTAAATTTCTTGCTAATTAGAGCTGTAGCCTAATCATAGATATAAATAAAAATGAATGAAACATTTTTTGAGCAATCCTTCATGCTTTTGGGCTTTTTGACTCTGCGCTGTGTCCTGCTTTCCGTTTTTCGCATTCACATTACTTATGTCAACCAGATCACGAACTGTCGTAAAACTAATATTCTGTCTTACTTGATATATCGTACAAAGCTTCTATTCACTTATAGTAACGAAACAGAGATTCATGTTTTGAATTCTTTTTAGACTAATACGTAAATTAAAATAAAATTTAACGAAAATTAAACTAAATTAATTTAAACAAATGCCTTGAACTCCAGTATGACTAGAAAACAAAAACCTTGTCACTTACTACTATGAAAATGTTAGTAATAGTTTCAAGGCATGAATATCAGCCATGTAACAGTGTATTCTCGTTAAATGAATAACAGTATGTCACTCTGTAGTGCATAGTGAGCATAATACTACCTTGTTACTTTACTTTAATAGAATACTGATTAAAACTGATATTAGTATCTTATGCAGTAGTTGGTAACTGGACAGCCCATATCCATTTTATATACCACATTCACGTTTCAGGTTCAATGTTATTTGACATAATTTACAAGTTGTTTTGAATTACCAATCGCACTCACTGGATCAATATTACACAGCATATAAAATCAGCATTGATCGAATAACATTACTGAACATATGATAAAAATCATTTCTTATTTAATTTCAGAACTATGAAACAGTCTGTCGGTAAAACTATGTAAAAATTTTTTTACAAAATTGCATTAAGATATTGCTTGTGATTGAGCATTGAAAACAATGATGACCTTGATTGCAGCTGCTGACATACCGCACTGTTCAGAATAATGACGTCTGCTGCAAGATATACGAATCTTGATAAATGCATAAGGTCAGGGTAGCCGGTTTTCAATAATAAAATCGCATAAACAGCTATGAAATGTTAATTAAAGATATACGATGGCTTAGAGATCTTGGATGATTTTATGATTACACGTCATAACTTCCATCCATATAAATTGATTCATTAAAAACGTTAAAAGGTACTTCATGGCTCGTCAAAAGTTTTAACTGCTCTTTTACCGAAATAAGTATAATGATAAGCTTGTATTTAGTTGACCGTCAAAAATCAATGATGTGAAAATTCTTGGCAAACCTGTATTTACAAATGTATAGGGTATTCCGAAAATAAATAAATTCAGCATTTTAATTTGTTGTTGAATCGACAAGACTCTTTAACGACTGCATCCTAGTAAAGGTTTATCTCTTTATTTCATGGAATGCAAAACTACTGATTGAAGTATATTATGTCATTTCATTTTTAACTAATCTGTGTATTAACAACTTTTCATAATTGTCGTGTAAGAAAAATTATATATATATTTTTAAATATTCAATACGGCATAGAACGAATACCACTATGAAATTTGTCGCTTATCTTAAAACAGTGTTAATCGATGACTGATAATTCAATTTCAAATCTTTATTAAATATAAAATATCGAGATATTAAATTCTTAGCCTAATTTGATATTTTAAAGATTAATTATTCTTTCACATAGAATGCAGATCATTATTCGATTCTTATATTGACCGATATACTCAACAGATATTTGACATGATACTCAATTTCAATTGTTCTATTTTTAAAGTTCTCAGATAGGTTTTATAAAGTAGGCTATTAAGTTTAAGTTACACGTATCTACGAGATTTTACATAGATTGCCACAGCAAGTGGCAATGCAATATTTTTTCCTAGCTTCAACATCTGTATACTCCGAGTCCTCGTTTCTGCTACCGAGACGCTGAGCATCTTAATATAGTTCAGAGACCCTGACAACAAAAGTGTATTTGTAACACGAAAGAAGAAAGCAAATAAATAAACCATACGTCGTGACGATTATCTTTTGGCGCCAATAACGTTAATATAAAATTTATTGTCAGACTACTTTTCCTTTAATTCGCTTTACAACATATTATATTTATATATATTTTTTGACAGTTCAAACGAATAGAGAAAATAATGTGATTTATCGATCGACCAACGAAACCAACAAAACGAATCTGAATAAGACCTGAATACCTGGAACAAATTTTTAAAACGTACAAAATAGAGGAAAATTGTATTTGTTATTTAAAAATTCGAATAGTGAGTTAAATTTATAAAGAGACGAAAAAAATGTAATAAGATTATTATTCTATTATTCTCGTGAATACGGAGCTTTCTATCGGCTTTAATATTTCTTTGGCAAACTCGGTCTTCAGGCAGTTCTACAAAAACAACATATTCGCTTTAAGACCAGTGGGTCTTTGGGATAAACGCTGTGGAAGCTTGATCTGAAATATATTTTTGTACAAGCACATATGTGTACGAATACTGTCTCACCATCTGGACATACTTGTATATACGTAGAATGGTTTTGAATTTTCACTACTTCAGTGTAGCACAAATTTATAGCAATAAAATGGAAATATTTTATAATTAACTTATAATTAACTTATATTACAATTAATTACCTTTTTATTTATAACATTCAATAACATTGCAAGTTAGTAGATGATGATTGATATTAATACTGAGTTATTGTTAGACTTGAATCGAAAGAGGGATTATTTTATATTAAGTAAATTTTTTAAACAGTTTTTCATTACTGCCCATTTCATTTATGACTAGAGAAGTCAAGCATAATATCAAATTCAATTGATAGGGTTTCGTAATTATTCGAATTTTTAGGTTCACTCGGTTGAATAACACTTATAAGTATTAAAATATTTTTCAAATTTTTAAACAAAACTTTTATCGAGTTAATTAGTTATACTATTTTCGGAAATTATCCTCCGTTCACTTAAAAAAAGCATCGGGGAATTAATGATATTACGGCAATGGCCCTGGACTAGGTGCGGCCCTGTTTCAAGTATTGATTTCTATGGGTAGTCTGGGTGTTCTCTTTTAGCCTCATCGTTCTCACTACTACGTCATTCTTACTTGACCATAAGCTTCATCTATGCATACACTATCTTCGTCTCAATACAGTAAGGCGAATCCCTGCATATACGTTTTAAATATGGTGTAAACACGGAACTGTCACTTCATTGTTCATATTTGCAAATGAAAAATGATTTTATTTATAGAAATTATTTTTTCACTTTCACCAAATTTGCTAAGTCTGTTTACATATTGATTGGAAAACCAATTTTTAATTCATAGGTAAGACTGAAAGGTATTGCAAAAGCAGTATGCCACAGTAAAAATAACTGTTACCATATTATGAAGATTGCTTTGTTCGTTGTTTTGAAATTAAACAGAGATATAATAGGAATATAATTTGAAAATATTTCATAAAATTTAGACCTTTCAGGAATATCAAATAAGATATTAATAACATTTTTAAGATACGCTAAAATATTATGTTTTAGGTGACTTTTGAAACTCTAACAAATTAGCATTCTTATAATAATACAAGTATTATTGTCAAGTGGAATGATGAAGACATTAGAATTCTGAGCAAACTTGAATAAGATTATATTCTATTGCATTTTTGAATGATGCAGAATGGATATTTCTTCAATTGTTTAGCAAATCAAACCAAATTTAGATTGGAACTACTATCTCATCCTACGCAGTGCATAATATATAAAATGAATTGATTAGTTTTATTTTTTTTTAATATTTATAGATTGAAAGAATAAGGATGAAAATTTGTATCTTTGAGAATATTTGCAAATAAAGTTGAAGTCTTAACATTTAATTCTTTTATTTGAATTATGTGTGTTAGCTAACAAAGCTGCGTGGATAACACGAACATTTAGAATTAACTATTAAACAGTTACTTGTAATACTTTAGGTAAAATCTGAATTAACGAAATATAAGTCTAAAATTAATATTCAAGTAAAGTCAAATAGCACATACAAGTAGTAGATTCCTCGTTATAAGGCTACAATTATGATTAATAAATATGTAAAACTTACCAGTAGACTGTTTAGAGTTTGACTTGTAAGTATTCAATATCTGTCGAACACAAAAATCATTCTTGCGATTGATGCTCATATGCATTGGTGCATTTCCATTCCTATTTGACCATCGACTTTTTGAATTACTTCTCTGCAATGTTGATCTAGAAGTATTCTGTGTTCCTGCTGTATCAGAACGGTTTCCACCTGTGCAACAATAACAATAAATCGAAGTTATAATAGATGCAATCTGGTACAATAAAAAACGCTTGTAAATACGTTTAACTTTTTGAACTTAAAAATATATATTAAATTACGTCGTAATTACCCTGCCAATATAAATGAAATTTAACAACTGACAAAAGGAAATAACATAACCACTTACCATCAACCGGTTTCAAATATATGTAAAGCGTACATTGGCGGGAATTCTAATGAGAATATCAATTAAATACTATGATAATCGCGATTGGCAGATTGAATACCACAAGCACAAACAACGGTTAAAATTGATAAATGAATGAATCAATTACTATTTGCTCAAAGACATTTTACTTTATCTAAACAATGAACCAAATTTTGTCACAACCGATGGTGCCTGAAAGCACGTATAGATAAACGTTATCTACAGTTGAATCCTACCATAAAAGTAATTGCGCGCCAAAATAACATTGATCTTTTTCACTACATTACACATTTTCATCTGATCGTATATGTTTTTTTACATATGTGTCTGCACACGTGCGTCTGCTGATAAAAATTACTCATTTACGTATCGATAACGTTGAATTGGTAATGAGTCCAAAACACAGTGATGAGTAGTAAACATAAGAATTGAAAGTACGTATTATGAAAAAAATTGAAAATAAGTGACTAACAAAATTTATCTGCGTTTTAAATTTACCTGAGACCATATCTTGGGAGGTCATTTGCAATAGAAGCGCGAGTTGCTGCCGCTCGGACATCCGCGCTGGGTAACCGCGAAAACGACCATTACTGCTTGCGGGCATTCCGTCCTCATAACTCGGAAAACTAAACCTCAAAATCCACGTAAACACCAACTGAACAATACACTTTGAAAGCACGTCTCAAACATTACTGGACCACAAGTGCAAAATAACCTAAAACTGACCAAGCTGTTCACGCCATTTTGAGAGGTAGCAAGCACGCACAAACACAAGAATAGACGGTCAGAGGATTCGTTTTATTAAAGCAATTAACGCACCAGTTATTAATTCAAAGAATGCAACTTTCACTAATTTCTTGTTATTGATTTTTCCTAATTCCAATCCAATTTTACGACGCGACATAAGTCCCTTCGAAAGTGCGATAACGAGAATGTGTTTCAGCGCGCAATATGATGCAATAGCACTTCCGCGTCGTTAGGTTAGGTTGGTACAGCTGTCATTTTGACGATTCGCGCGGGATATTCAAAACGCTGGAATATTGTTTTCGTCACTGTCCTTAGTTACATAAGCCATTGAAGGACATATAGAAAAAATAGGTGGGTTAATAAGAATCAAGAAATCGAGCTGCTTTATTTTATCAGTCGTTTAATAAAGAATATGGGCTTACACTTCGTCCTTCGCACCTCAATGATAATTCAACTTTAATGTTCTTAGGTTTTTCGTGTACGTACTACGCTACGACGTTCACGATCCACGTGAAAGTAATTTGACTTGGGACTCAAAAGGTAAACGTGATGACACTAGAATCAGGAGCTACTTTACCAGGCGTTACTATAAATGAAGTGCGATAGGCCATTCAGAGCCACCGTATCGTTATATTAGAGACGTAATGTCCAACCAATTTATTCGATTTTAAACTTTCGGTTCATCATTAACCTTACGATATCATAATAATCATTAATAACGGTAAGAACACATCGTGTAATCGCATCTAACGCAATGGCTAACTACAACATTATAGAAAATACATAATAATGACTCGTTTCGCCGAACATACCGAATGCATATAATTTCTTTAATTGACATTTCCAATACTGCGATTTGCGTACAAATTTAGTCTCGACGCCAGTAATCGCTGTGAAGTAAGAAGAAACAGTGACTGAAATAGAACACGTGGCGTTAGGAAAATGAGTCTGAGGAAAGCTGAATAAGAAATTTTTTAAATTTTAACGCGAACACCGTCCTTCCGTAACAGCCCATAATTTTCTCCATCCTCAGTGCGATGCAGGAAATTCAAAGAAACGTGTCGCGACGAAAAAATATTCGTACATGAAATAAACCGGCCTTCCATGTCGTACGTGAAAAATCTCGTATCGAGAATCGACATGAACATGTATTCATTTTTTTATAATGTTATACTTTCACACTACACGATGTCAACACACATGCTGCATGCTCACGCATGATTATACTTTAATGTTAGACATACACACGGACAATGATAATTTATTCCTTACATCATTAGCTCATGACCTCGTTACGTTAATGATAGAAAACGACGTAATATGAGTACACAGTACCAATAGGATAGAAGAGAGTTTCTGGTTATTCGCGACAATCGACGAAAGCTCGAACGGCGTCGAGTCGCGATAATCATTTGCAATAGGGATAGGTAGGCTGGTAACACATCTAGTACCTTAAATCGTTTGAAAAGTGCACGAAAAGTAGATTTATCTAAAGAGTCTAACGAATTTGCCTCTACTGTTTCTAGAGCAAGTTCGTCGAGCAGCCGCATTCATAATTATTTTTTTTCTTTAGTCCCGTAATTTATTGGTCTCGTCGTTTGCTGCTCAAGTATTTTTCCTTCATATATTTACGACCATCCACGATTATCCTTTATAACATTTGACTTTTCCTTTCGATCTATCAATTTACTTCACGTTCGTCCGATCCCTCGTTAACACGCAGGTTTATCCGTTTCGTATGGTTTCCTTTGTTTACGTTTATTCGTACTTTCGATTCTCAACTAGCTATACATACATACATATACAAATTGCGGTATGAATTCGAAAGACGAGGTGTGCCTTATATCTAAAAAGTACGCGTTTTCCCTGCACAGGATCTGAGAAAACAAAAGCAACACCAGTCACTGCGTACTGTACTTGTACGATGGGCATCTTATTTTTCTCTCTTTTTTTATTTTTTAATATATTTATCAATACGTCACGTCTCGTATGTTCCTTTTGCCTTCGTTAATAACATGTTTTCTTCTACAATTACTTCAATTGGAGGGTATACAGTTACGTATACATGCAATCTGTTGCCACAGTGAGCAATGAAATTTAGTTCGCGTTGCCCGTTAAACACATCGAAAAATTTGCTCGCAAAATATTGGACTTCTCAACGTGTCCGCCAGGCACGACGCATTCATACAAAGCGAGTCAATCGCCATATTTACGTAAAGTCTTGAATTATCATATAATTCAGTCCCATTCGATTTTATCATGCGGAACGGCCACCGTGGGGTGGGTGGGGGTCTAAAGGATTTTTTTTTCACGATTATAGCGAATATCGCTACATTTCAGAAATCATCTTTTCGATCCTTTTTTTTTCTTCTAATCTACATCGACACATATATTATTTATTAACAGTTTGACGCTGCTGTCAATTACGCGATTGCTATATATCTCTTGTCGTACGTTTATATCAGGTATGATCCGAATATTACTGTCAGTACTGTGACCAACGCTGCGTCCTTAGTCATCCATACGCATCTAAGAGAGATGTAATTAATTTTACAGTACTGTCAGGAAATTTCGGAACACATCCATTATTTCAGTTATCTTTTTTCAATCGTTTTTTCCAGCAAGAAACAATGTTTACACATGAATCATATGTTCGCAGGTGCCATCGCCGTTACTCCCGTGATATGACGGACGAGTTTACACTGACATTTCTTTCATTTTTTCATTTCTGAAAATCGACTTTTCAGTGAGCATTCGATACTTTGTTTCTGATGAAGGAAAAAAAAACAATACACAGTGTCGTATTTTCTCACGTATAAAAATCTTAATTAATCACCCGATCTTATCGTGTCAGTCGTAGAAAAGCCGTGAAACGGTTTCTAATACCAATTGGAAGTAACGCCCCATCTTTTTTTTCACATTCTGATACAATTAAAGTAGAAATCTTTACGTCCGACCATGACTTTCTTTAGTTGAACAATAAATAATAACTATTATAATAACTATTATATTAAACGGCGTATATCACTAATTAATTTAATGTTAATCGCTTTTTGACTATTCTCTAACGCTCGATGACTGTTCGCTTGAACGATTTCAAGATATTATTAGCGATTATTATTATTATTAGAGTAACAATAATAACAGTAATAATTAGTCATTATTAACGGTAAGAACTTTACGTTTAGCAAGAAACTCATATAGATTCTTCATATATAAATCGGATGGCAAATCTTTGGATTGCCATTAGGCGCGAGGCGACCTCCTTTTGGTAATTTGCTGACGGTTTTTCGCTTTTGGGTACGTGACCCTCCCTTATTTTATAAGCTTGAATATTTATTTCGAGCTGAGAAAACGTCCAATTTCATAAATGAATTTAACGCTTTGACTTTACGCGATACACTTTGTACTTTGAAAATAACAGTAATAACAATAATAATACCTAACCATCGTATTCATCACTACTATCGTCCCCATCATTATCGTCGACATGATTATTATTACTTCGATCGTCAATTATACGGATAGTTCACTTTTTTTCATTTTGTTTTTTTTTTTTAATGGAATGTCTACGTCTATCCTCAAATGTATTTGAGATATTCTCCAATGAAGACCGGCCATCCGTGGCTGAAGTGTACTCGATTTAGGTTTTGCTCCGGCAATTTTTATAGTCGAGGTACGATTGTTTGACGATTTAGCTATACAGAATGAGAAAAAGAGAGAGAGAGAGAATGAACGAGCATGAAAAAAAGGTAGAAGGTGATAGAGTTTATGTTTCAGGAACATAGAGAACAGAGAGAGAGAGAGAGAGAGAGAGAGAGAGAGAGAGAGAGAGAGAGAGAGAGAGAAGTGGGAGAGTATGAGAAAAAGAGATAAGAGAGAGATAGTCTTATCTCTGATAAGTTTCGACACAAAATGGATTTTGTGTTCTGCAGTCTTTTTCACTCTGAATGAACTTTTTCCATAGACTCTAGCAGGTGCAACGCGATTTGACGCAATTTTATGTAATCTCTTTAGGACATGAACTTTTTTTTCTTTTGCGACAATGCGAAAAACATAAAGCGCACTGAACGACCAGTTCAGTTTGAATCGAGATTGACTCGATCGAAACGTGGATGAAAAATAAAGTGAATATTTCTTTAGTTGTTGAGTTACGTCGAAGAGGACAGAATATCGTAGGGATAATTGAAAAAATGGTCTTTGCACTGTTGCACAAGGATTCTAGCAGCATAGAAGGTGGGCTTCTTCGTATAATAATGTATGATATATATATATTAGACAAATGTGACGGTCAAAAAACCAATTTATTCTCAAAACTGATATTTCAATGAGTCTTGAAATGTATCATGATCATGATTATACTTTCATTAATTTATCTGACGGATAAATCGATATACCTGCTGTGCGTAATCAATAGCTAATGAATTCTGAAGCTGTTAGTTCTTTTTATTAAAAAGATTTATGCTTTTCAGATCATTTAAAAAATTCATCCAGCAATTTCACGTGTCGTTCGCGAATTTGTATGCGGTATTGTTATTAATGTAGATTTTTACTTAATTAATTTTGATGTGGAACAATTTAGCGCTTTTCACAACGTTATGGTATTTTGTTATTCTTTTTCGTGTAAACTATATTCGGATAAACGTCTAAATCATTTTTAGTTACGTGTTTATTTGTTCGAACTCTATCCCCTTTGGATCGACATATAATCTCTATTTTAATAATTTATCGTCAGCAAGCGCTGGTTTAGAAATACATGGGTACAATCGACTTTCGGTTCGATGAAATAGTCGGTACGAAATACTTATAAATTGTGACACTGGCACGACCCCCCATCGATCGACCTTCTTGCGCACGATTTTACTGTTCGAAATCGTTGAATCCAGTTCAACCACGTTGCTATGAGCAAATGTCACTTTAAAGAGAACCTTCAAACTATTTGAATCTTTAATGTCTACCTCTATAGCCTCAGATATTTTTTTTTCTACCAGTCTTTACTCCTTCTCTATATCTAAGCATTTTTAATCGTTAAAATCATCATCGTGAACCCTGTTTTTTTCCTCCTTATCAACAAATTTCAACTACCTCTCCTTCGCTTGAGCTGCATTTCACGAAAACGTTTCGTGAGCTTCGGATATTTCCTTTAACATTCGTTAATGGCACAAAACGATTTGGCGTGTGGCATTCCTTTAGAATTCCAAAATTCACAAGGAAGACTTTGGAAGGATGCTTTTCATTTGATCTTTTTTTCCAATGATATTCACAGCCTGAGATATCTTCGGTGACAGCTCAAGCTCATTTTAATCCCGAATAGTTATTTTTTGCCTTGGTACATTGTGAATAGGTACACACATTTTTTTTTACTTTCCGCCGTACGTCGGAAAAATCCAATATTTACAACAAATATTTGACCTTTCGAAATCCCAGCTCAAACCCACGTTCGTAACTTTTTAAACGTTTCCAGAATATTGGTTTTCATGCATAAGGATCTAACCGCACGCGTAGCTTGCACAAATCATTTTCTATGCATTTTCTAAAAAAAAAAAAATCTAATTTATCTTAGTGTTATCGAATTACGAGAATCCAATGACGTAACAGTCAGAAAATTATGTTTCAAACTTCCATGCTTTCCTTCATCCGAAAAGTTCGCGGTGAACCTTTTTCGAAGATTGAACATGTGAACAAAACGGCGACTAAGTAAGAAATTTTGAAGTGAAGATATTCTCAAGACAATGAGTTACACAAGCGTTTCCTCTTTTAACATAAAGATCTTAACTATTGATCGTGAGAGTATTTCGATGTGTCGCAATCCTGGCAAACCGAGTAATTGAAATACTCAGGCCTCTTTAACTTTAAAGAATTCTCGAAATTCATTGATATTCTTTCCTCGCCGCTGCTCTCTCAGGATGTATGTGAAACATCGAAGGTTTCGAGAGCGGGAATAATAGGACGAGAAGGAAAAGATGAGAGAGAAGATGGAGCAAGAGGATACAAAGGAAGAGGAGGATTGACAAGAGCCCTCTTTGGATTTACCCGGAGAATCCAAAATCCATCTAGTTAGCCGTCGTATTGGTCAACATCGATGCAACAGCTGGACCGGAAGTAAGAGCTCTACGACATCTTCTGTGCCATCAGCGTGGATGTCCTATGGATGTCCGAAGTCTTCTTTTCAAGGCTAAAGTCTCCAAAGACTGGATCTTCTGGTCCCCGTAGTAGATCCTGCCGTACAGATACATAGCGAACTTATGAGATAACTATGTATCACTAATGATGGAGAACGATGTAAGATTAATCGTCCCGGCGACTCGAGTGGCATGCAAATCGGAAGTACGCTATCGAAGTTCGCAGGTCGACCTCCTATCTATGGTTGTACCGACCGGCATGGGAAACGGCGGCCACCATCTCGATAGGCAGGGAACCGCGTCTCTTTACAGCTGGCTCCGGAATCGAGTCGTTCTTTAACAAGTCTCTTTTGCAGTGCAGCCAAGTCCCGTTATCATTCCCGTCGGCTGGACGCCCGGCAAACATTTCTGGACCCCCGCTGCTCCGTCTTCGTAGAATTTTCTTCCTCCGCGATTTTCCATTTCCGTTCCCGTTCACGTTTCCGCTGTTCCGATTGAAGAGGTCACGTCTTAGCTCGGATATATCGGCAGGTACTGAACCTCGTCTTGGCGAAGGCATTCCGGAAGCTCTGGTGGCGCCCTCGGATGCCAAAACCGTCCCATTATTGTCACTACTGCTACGATTATTATTGTTGTTGGCGCTGCTACTACCACTGCCATTAGCAGCATTATTGTTGTTGTTCATCGGACAATTCTCCCGTTCGACTGAAATGAGTAAAGACTAAGAACGATCAAGGTACTCTTGGAGTTAACGATACAGCTTTTAAAGTTGTCAAATAATAACTCTTACCCGACGACGAGAAAAAGTTGCCCAAAGCCCTTTCTTGCGGAAGACTCGCTCTTCTGGGTAACGGGAGATTCTCGCCGCAAGGACCTAACGCCGATCGATTTGGTCCACCGTCTGTTGAAAAATAAAAGAGAATTCTATAAGTCAGCTAATGTGAACGAGATGCTAATAAGATAATTACAATTTATATTTAATGATTCATACACGAATAGCATTTGGCCAAATAACGCGTATGCAAAGTAGACATGACATGGTTGTACAATTATTTAGGACGAGGAGTAGCCATTGCCAATCCAATTGAAAGAGCTATTTAACGATTGTACAACGGTGGATCGATGCTCCTGTCCTTGGATAGTTTTCTCATTGACACAGCAGCGATGTAAATCCTTGATTCGTGAGCATCATGCAATATTTCTCAATAGGGAAAATGGCGACGATAGAGTCGTACTTTGGTGCGCAGTGATGTCTGTTGGTACGGAACCTCGCCTAGAGTAGCGATCGACTCGAGAAGTCGTGAAACTCGTTGAAATATCCTCCAGCCTGGACATTAGACCGACCGGAGCAGATCCACGTCTTCTCGCCCATCCCTGCAAAGAATCGAGACATTAATTTCATGGACTCGACGACAATTGAGTACTCGACTATTCAAAAGATTGCATTGCGAATCTCAGGAAAACTAGTTTAACTAGATAAAGATAGGAAAGAGTACTTGACATTAATTTCAACGGAAATAACAATGGACCCAACTCTGGTAGATCTCGAGTGGCACTTCGTAGAAATATATTGAAACCGTACCGCAGGATTTCATCGAAACTTTCGATAAATGGAAATGGGAAAAATTGCAAAGATAAGATAGCACTGGATAGGATGCTTGCCAGAAGAGAGTTCTCCTGCTTGACCTAATTCTCATTTCTCTAATGTAATGTATCATTGGCTATAGTCAATCAAAGTAGAAGAAAAAACGTTACTGTGAATTTATCGAGGTCGTTTCACGTGATTCGTGAATTTATTAGATTCCATGTATTACTGGGTGAACGATACTTAAAAATTCGCAGAGGCAGAGGACCAGAAGAGTAAGTGACAATATTGATGAATATAAAATGAATAAATTTTTGTTAAATTATATAAAAATTGCGTATTACCTGACCGCAACGTCGAGTCAACGAAGGTAACTTCGATCCGTCGTCTGCAACGCGCGGATCCACGTTCTCCTTCATTTCAGATTCAACGCTTAATTTTGGAATCTTGATCCCTTTGTCTCTCATAGTTTCGGAGTCTCTTTTACCGCTTACAATATTATTCTCAGTGCACGACTGACCGATACCTCTTTGCAATTCACTGCCACTGTTACTGGAGGAAGCACTGGGCTCCATTGGCGGCGAATCCGGTGGACTGCCGATAAAGAAGACTTTACGATGGCCTTCCGGTTCCGATGTTTGCAACACAGGTAACGCACTGAAACGTCTACTAGTGAGATTCTCGGTACTTTTTGAATTCGATATCGGAATAGAACATCTTCGTCCGCTAGGCTGGCACTTTCGACTTTCCAGAGATTCTGGTTGAGCTCCAGGATAAAGACGGCATTCGGGTACATCCGCTTGCAAATACTCTTCGGAAAGTTCCCGTACGATATCGTCGTATGGTTTAGCATCCGGTGCAGTGTAGCTAGATGAAAAGGAGGTTGGGGGAGTTTCAGATGGTGGGGTTTCATGACGCGTACGAGCGCTACCAGTTAAGAATGCGTAGAATCGCTGCGTAGAATCAATTTCCTGACCCGAAGAAGGACGTCTTTGTCTGTGACTGTGTGCATGCTGCTTGGCACCAAGGTTCATCTGCATCGGATCTGATATTTGCATCGAGTGACGTCGTGGGTACTCTGAACAGGTAATCAGATCTGTGCTCCTTTTCACATGATCTGATACGGCAGATCCTCTTCTTTTAGCATGTTGTTCTGTAAAGGATCTTCCGATACAGGAGAAATTAGATTTAGCAGAAAGATCCGAACTGATTTTTCTCGGGGGAGATTCTGGTGGTGTGCCACATTTTCCACCGAAGCAAGATTTTTGATTTACGAGAGTAGATTTGCTTCCAGAATTCTCGTTCCTCCGACCAAAAGTATCTGAGCAGCATTGCGACATTTCCGCCGTGGTCGACATATATCTTGTTCTCACGTAGGGCTGCAATGGCGGGAAGGTCTGCTGTCTGGTTAATTGTTTTGTCTGTGAGGACGCCTTTTGATCAGGTTGAAGGACCGTACTCAATCTTGAAGCTTCAACGCTATTTGTAATGCTGGCAATACTTGGTTCCGGTAGAAGGTTTTCGGCACTGACGGGTCTTCCCCCAGGACTTTCCGCAGTTAAAGATTCATGAACGCTGCTTCTTGAGGAAAGGGAGGATAATGAATTTCGAGGTAATAGACTTTGATCCTCAAGCTTCGCTAGGGAACTTGGCTTTGACTTCTTGTGCTCAGCAGGCAAACTTTCTCGTCTAATGTCAGTTCGTGGAAGCGACAACGGCTTTGACACGCTTAAAGGAACCGAGTGTCGTCGGCCAACGTGTTCCGTGTTAATTTTTCCTGGAAAGCTGGGCCTACGTGGCGTACACAGATCAGGTAGTAGAAGATCAATGCTTCCAGAATCATCGACAACGATCTCATCTCCAGAGCTAATTTCAACGTTGTCAATTTCCTCGAGATTAGACATTTCAATCTTCGTCTCCTCGACGTTATCCTGTATAATCATGGTCTCCCATCGATCTTGATTCTCTCGTAGATACTTCATAAGTGACACGCTGAGCCCATCGCTCAAGAACCGGTGCCATTCCTCGTACAGAGGTGCCACGACAAACTTAAAGAAACCTACTTGAATCTTCGGTATACTCGTAGTGTATCTATTACAGAGAGGTGTAACTGGAAGGTTCAGCTGCCGTTCATAATCGCCTTGACGAAAGAACTCTTCGCAGACCTTGTGCGACCATTTACGAGATATATCCCAGGGCCTGCAAGGATTCGAGATGTCTGCGCACTTAAGTGCTATTTGCAGTACAAAATGTCGATCCTCTGGTCTGCGCATGTCTAACAGATTTTCATCCAAGTATTGCTGCAACAAAAGAAACAATATTCTCTTTTGCTAAGCAAGCTTTACGATATTACAATCACTAAAAACGTCACTGTAAGGATACCTTAAATCTCGTAAGAAATTCCTGCTGCCTGGTGATATCTGTAGCAAGGATTAGCGAACTAATGTGTTCCTGAAGTTGAGATCGTACTTCTCGCGTTAATTGTTCCGATACTCCACTTTCCAGCAGACATCCTATAGCCGATCTCCAATGATGGTTCTCGAGAACGGAAGTATTCTGAAATCGATTGGTTTTCTTTTTTTATAAAGCTCTCATTATACCCTTTTGTCATTGATATGTTTCAAGAGTTACCTCGTATAGGGCAGCAAGATGATTGCTCGTCGCAACTAGAAACGGTTGATTGACACCAGGGTGGTCCAAGTCATGCGTAACCGCAGCGATCAGCGACGCCATTACTTCCAAAGGACTGAGATACGCCTTTATCTATAAAGATTGATCGACGTTAAGAAGCATCAGGGTTGCCGAAAATTATCAAAAAGTTACCTTCTCTTCTTGCAAGAAACAGTGCATCGCCTGGGTGACGTCGGTAGCGTGTATACTGTTGTGGTAAGGATTTGTACTGTGGTAACCTTCCTCGATTAAGGCTGAAATCCACACGAAAACAACAATAAATCATAGAGGGAATATATGTAGAACGTCTTTTTCTCCTCTCCCGAGTAAATGGAAATTCTTTATTTTCCGAAGATTCTTAAATTCTCCTTTCTTACTAGCTTCACGTCGTTCAGGCTCAAAATAGAAAGCTCGCGTGCCCTGGTACATCGATGCAACGAATACAGAACAGTCTCAACGTGACATAATTCGTTTTCTATGGAAATTTTTTATGGAATATATAAATAATACGAGGCTTGAGCCTCGAACCTGGAACCTTGCAGCTATAAATACATGCATTCTTATGCGTCACATAAATTTATCATATTTCATGAGAGACCAGGTTCAACATCGTACGAACGACTTCCGATCGTGTGCTACATGATTATTGTGCCCGTGACAATTATTCTGATTCGTTCGACGAATCTATTTATGGGATATATTTCTGATTTGGGATTATTATTATTCTCTTACCGAATAATTTCCAAACACGAACGACTTCCAGATTGAAATGCTGCAAAAGTCCATACCAATGAAACAGATGAACGCATAGTACTGGTAGAGAGCGACCTGGAAAAATTGAAATAAAAAAATTATTTAATAAACTCCGGGCATATCAGAATAGCTTACGTTACGTATCTCAGTATTTTTTAATATAATTATGCATTATAATAAATTTATGTTTCGAGTAATCGCTAAATTTCAAAATTTCGACTATATTTATATCTTAGAAGAGACGAACAAAAGTGCTCTTTTTTTTTCTGTTACTTCAATATCTGTCATTTATTAACATCGTCAATAAATTTTATTAAATTTTACAAAGCTGATCCAATACAGAAAAATTTATACCGGCAACGCAATTAATTTGATCTTTACTGTCTAATTATTCAATTCAAGCATATCTAATGCAAGTGTACAATAAATAATAATAATTATTTTTCATAGTACAATAACAGCATGAAAGGCTATCAATAGACTCACCTCCTGTAACTGTCTCCAAAGTGAAGGCATTGAACCGCCAGTTTCCAGCTCTTTGCAAGACACACTAAAAAAAAAATTATTTAAATAGACGACGACAATTAGCAATATCGAAACTAATCAGTGTACGCAGTTGAGACGTCGGTAAAACTAAAAATACGCGTTTCAATTTTTTCTTTTAATCAAACTGCAAAACGTGAATTTAACGAATCGTTGCGTAACACCATAAACCCTTTATAAAACTCACCCTCACTTGCCCGTGAAATATATCATCCAACATTCCAGAATCCTGACTCAACGACCTGGTGATGAGTCTCTTGCGCCGCCTCTTGTGCATCGTGAGAAATCGGCCGACGTGCCTTGGTCGGCAATAACTGACGTCCAAATTTTCCAGGAGTAAACGATCGGCGTTCGAGAGGCGTCGCGACGTGGGCGTCGTCGCGGTGGTGAAAGTCCCTGTGAACGTAGTCGGCGTAGAGCCTGCTGACGCCAACGCTGCTTCTTCTACAACGATGAAAGCTTATTTTCACAAGGAGACTTTCCCAGTACACATATATGTATATATATCTCATCTCTATCCCCTAATTATTTTATCCGCACCTAACAAAAAAAAAAAAAAAAAAAAAAAA